AAGGAGACATCAAAGGAGACTAAAGGAGTTAAAAGGAGACAAAAGGAGACACACTGTCGACAGTAGGATCTGTAGTAACCTGAAAGACGGGCAGCCGAACCCCAGCGACGTTATCATAGGCAGCAGTAACGAACACCGCAGGCCGCTTAATGCGCTGTACATACACCCCAAACCCTAAACCCTAAACCCTAAACCCTAGACCCTAAACCCTAAGCAATAGACAATAAACAATAAACAATAAACAATAAACCATGCGCACTAATCCCTAAGCCCTATACCTTGCACCCTAAGACGTAAACCCTAAACCCTAAACCCTAAACCCTCAGCCCTGAGCCCTACGTAAACCTGATAAACCCTAAACCCTAAACCCTCACCTGCAACAACTGTCCCCTCAGGTCGCTGCCTCCAGCCCATGAAGCCTTTGCTAAGGAGAAGTGCGCCTCGTTAATGGTGTCTCCTATTGACAGTTTCGTCTGCATACACCCCAAACCCTAAACCCTAAACCCTAAACCCTAAACCCTAAAGAATGAACCCCAAACCCTACATACCAAAGCAACAACACGCACTGAACAATATAAGCCCTAAACCCTAAACCCTAAACCCTAAACCTGAGACACCAAACCCTAAACAAGGAAACCCGAACCCTCAACAGTAATAAAAGACAACGCACACACAGCCCTAAACCCTAAACCCTAAACCCTAAACCCTTGCCTTCACAATCTCCTTCAGCATGCCACGGAAACGAGCGGACAGAGCATCACTCTTCTTTTTTAAGAGTTGGTAGCCCTGAGCAGCGCCTTTCTTCTTCTGCTTCGCAACCTGAAGAGTCCTGCAGCAACAGCAGCAGCAGCAGCAGCAGCAACAGCAGTAACAGCAGTAACAGCAGCAAGGTGCCAAAGTAAGCCCAGCACAACCCGCAGCAATACCCATGTCCTTGCACAGCAGGTGCGGAAGCAGCAGCAGCAGCAGCAACCCCAGCAACAGCAGAGGCAGCAACAACGGCTCCCCCCAGTTGCTGCAGCAGCAACAGCAGCTTGGGGGTCGCACCGAGCCTACGAGCGTCAGCTGCTACAGCATCAGCAGCGCTTGAAGCAACAGCGGCATCCTCAAGCAGCAGCAGCAGCAGCAACAGCAGCAACAGCAGCAGCAGCAGCCGCAGCAGCAGCATCAGCAGCAGCAGCAGCTGCTAAGTAAGCCTACATGCGACTGGGCGCTACTTGGGCTTCTGACGACATTTTGAGGCGTCTGTGAGGAGAAGAGAGAGTTGAAGCCAAAAAGAAAGAGAAGAAAGATATTTAAGAACCCTAGTCCTCCAGCTGCTGCTGCTGCTGCTGCTGCTGCTGCTGCTGCTGCGGGTAGAACAGCGGATGGAGGAGTTTATCTCGCCTCATGAAGGCTTAAATTATCTCAACACATTTAATGCACAAGTATTAAAGTAGCACATCTACCCCCGCTAGAAACAGTCTCAGCAGCAGCTCGAGGCAGCTCTTGCTGCTGCTGCTGCTGCTGCTGCTGCTGCTGCTGCGGCTACCGCTCTTAATTGCCTCTAAATAAATTTCTGCTGGCTTCTCCTAATAAATAATATAAACAATCTCTTGAAGATAACCAACATCATTGTTTAAATACCTTTTATTTGGACTTAATTAATAGGAGTTAAAAGAAAAGAGAGAAACAGTGTATAAGGACAGCAGCATGCGAGAGGTCAACCCTTCTTAAATTTTTTATTTTAAAGATATATATATAATATATATCTTTAAATCTTTTTATACTTCATCAATTATATATTTATCTTTACTAACAGTTTATAGACCTGCCTGGCTGCTGCTGTCCCCCAGTAGAAAATGCTGCTGCTACAGTTAATATATCTGCTGCTATTATATAATGTGTATGCAAATGCTTCATCTCTTTTGCATGCGCTGCAGCACAAAGAAACAAACAAACAAACGGACAAACAAGCAAACAAAACAAAACAAAAGGTCTTATAAAGAAGCTGCTAACCTCCTTTACCGCCCTCAGACTTCCTTATTGCAGCAAATGAACAGGCAGCGTAAACTTATGCTGCACTTTGCTGCAGCACATGCTGCAAGACAAGCCACCTTCGCATGCAGATACACCCGAACTTTCTTCTGCTTGTTGCAGCAACACTGGAGACAAGTGGGGCTGTCTGGCTAGCGTGCAAGCTGCTGCTACAAAGGCTGCCTCAGTGTTAATAGACAAGCCTAGGACGGAGCAAGCTGCACTGTGTTTATATAGGAGATCCACAAGAAACCCAGTCTATCGATTTGTTTTCAATTGTCTTTATATGGTGAGTGCGAAGGAATGCCTCTATATGAAAGACGTTGCTAGAGAATGAACAAAGGCTGCTGCAGACAGGGCAGCAGCCGCTTCATTGGCTAGTGTCTCCTGTTGTCTCCTCTCTCTAGAGCGTTTGATGGGGCTCTGCTTGTAGCTTTCGATATCCTGCTGCAGTTGTGCATCATATTCTCTTCTCCTGTAACTGTCTCCGTTTGAAGCTGTCTTTCGGTGTACACACCCACTCAAAAGAAAACCCTCACCAATGAGATGTGTATGTACACTGAGTACCTGTCTTTCTAATTGCATGCAGACTGGCTGCTGAAGGCCAAGAAAGTGTTTTAAAATTGCATATAGTGTTGGTGCATGCGCCAAAAGGGAGCTTCGATATGCCTGAATGACGAGCTGTCTTGCATCCGAAGCTGCAGGAAAGGCTGCTGCAGATCGTAGCAACCCACCTCCTCTTCGCCTCCGTTT